TTTAAAAATGGTTTCTGTTTCATGAAAAATTTTCAGTACATTTTTGAAAAAATCAAATTTTTATCCAACTCAGATTTAAAATTATACTCCACCTTAAATCTACCTAGGTGACCTATCTTAAAAAAAAATCCAGAGATACTATTCTTTTGGAGCAATTCTTTGTTACAACCTGTTGCACTTGCACTGAATGTTTATAATATTTTAAACATCACAAACTGCAGTTGACTCTTAACCCCCTAAAAAGAAAATCAGCTGATGGCTGGTCTTGGCTGTGTCTGGATGAATAGAGTTAATTAGTAACCTGACCAGCTGGACCTGTAAATCAATTGAGGGAACTCTGGCTTAAGCAGAACGTTTAAGATTAATTTCAGAAGCCCAAAAACTGACCTTTTGCATTTGGTAATTCTGACAGTAGCAGCTATGGAGTAACAGGAAGATGTCTGTAACCAGTTGTTAAAATACAGCAAATTAGCTCATCCCCGCTCACGAAATCAGGACATTTTTTCCCCAAAGCCATGTCAGGCTGGAAAGTGACCTCTATTGCCGTCCATCGCCAATTTTTGCAATTTGATTTTTTCCAAATTATCTGCCTTGCTGCCCAGGGACAGCACTTTGCTAAGACTTCCAGGCAACTTCCTCAGTCCACTCTATTTAGTCCCTCTGTAACATAGTCACTAATGACCATATTCATCAGCATATGTATGAAGAATGATGAAGGGACAGTAAGTGCTGAAAGCCAAAAATCTGCTCTCTTAGGCCTTGTCTACACAAGTTGTACCTGTTTAGCTTAAGGTGTGATTTTTAAAGCTGTTTAAACTACTGCAACCCCCTATGTAGACACTTATTTCAGTTTGAGTGATTTATGGTTTAGCTAACCAGATTCCTGATTATTTTGTTTTAGCTTAAATTAAACTTTGTGTAACTGAAAGCATTAGGTATTTTAACAGATGAAATTTAAAGTGTGCTTTATTATTGATCAGGATGTTTACTAATAGGGCCTGCTCCTGCAACCACTGAAATTAATGGATAGTTAGCCGATAACTTCAAAAGGAGCAGGAATACCTCTATAGAGCGGGGCAGTGGATACCATGGTGATGAGTTTGAGCCAGAACTTAGGTGTCATCAAATATAGAAAGACCATACATTAGACATATGTGTCTAACACACAGAACTAGAAGAGAACAGGGACATTAATTTACTTAAGTTTACCAACTGAAATTAAACCTGGTTCCCCTCACTCTTTTGAATAGGAAGAGAAAACCCCTATGGATCTTGTTCTTCACTGGCAGAATGGCACCAAAGAGATATTCAACAGCCTTAAACAGAACTCCCACAAGAACTCCCATATAAACACATTCTGAAGAGAGAAAAATTACTTGCCTGGAGAAAAGTAGTTTCCTCTTCAGCAGTTTAAAAGCACCAACCAACCTCAAGAAAAATTGCACTGAACATGCTATTTTTACTGAAGAAAAAATTTATATCCTATTGGATTATTTGTAGCTGCCTTTGTTGGAATACTCTAGAACAAAGATTCAGAAATATTTAAAGACAGTTTGTGTTAAAATTCCATTGATTTAAAGTTGCTTTATTTATTTTATTTTGTTAGTGGTTCAAATGATTATCATTGTTGATCTTTGTCAACAAGTCATGTTACCGTTGTTTTTATACAGAGCGCTACAGTTACTACTGTGATAACGTGAATCAGTCAGCAATATTAACACCCTTCCCGCCCTTATCTTAGTCAGCAGTCCAAGTGTACTCCTATCAAGCCTTTCAATAGACCTAATTAGCTAACATGTCATTGTTGCCCTGTCTCTGTTAACTCTCAGTATTAGAGTAAGCTGGTAAAAATGAGTGGCAATATGTGGAAGACAGTAGAAAGCAATGGAAGGTTTACTAAGATGCCAAGTGGAATTAAAGGAACAGTTCAGTAATTGGACTTGTGTTGTTTAGCCATTGATAAAGAAGCCCAAGTCTAACATGAAGTAATTGTTTGGTTGCCGGGTCAAACAATGTTCTGAAGGTAAGAGGACGATAGTGAAGGAACATGCACCTCTGACAAGCTGGTATACACTGATTTAAGGAAAGACAGATGTATATTTGTAAATGTGTACTGCTTTTTATGTACATTTTGTATTGATCTTATTTAAAATTTAATAAACTGTGTGGTTCTTTTTGTCTCCAAGTGTATTCTGCCAGGTAGAGAAGTGTATGGAGGGAGCACCATGATGCTGCCAGACAGTCCGCTTCTTTCCCTTTGTTAGCTAAATGATTAGGTGTAGTTTCTTTAGAAAATTACTCAGCTACCTGGAGCTACCAGCTCTGAAGTACGTTTTAATTATTAAACCCCTTTTTAGCTTCATTGGTGTGGGTTTTTTTTTTAAAGGTTAGACAGATAGTGGTCAATACCGAAGTAAAAATTCAGTTTTGAGTTTGAATAGGCATCAGCTCCTCAGCTAAGTAGTAGTTAAAGCAGAGTCAAACACGATGGGAAGCTTGAACAGCACCAGCCAAGGAAGTGGGGGAACTGTACTCGCCCATGGTGGGAGAGGAAGAGCAGCTCTCCCTTTGCTTCTAGTAGAGAAAGCAAAACGATATTCTCCCCTGCTCTCCCTTACTCTAATCCCTGTAGATGCACCAGGAGGGAGTTCTAGATCTTTTAATGTTATAGTGGGCTTTTACACTGCACTTAATTAAAACCACACTCCAGTGTCGCAGCCCCCCACATGAGAAACTACCACTGCCCCATTGTGTACACCCCTCCCCCAGTTCAGTCAGACTTTAGTCAGCAAACATTAGAAATAAACCCAAATCAAGTCCTGGTGACACATTGCTGCAAATGGTGGGCTATGGACAGTCATTTAAAAACTTTTAATTATATTTAGACTTTGGCAGTGTGCATGAATATTGTATTACAAAAGTGTGGTTTTGCATGTGAGTGATTATAACCGAACATGACAATAAAAGAGCACAGATGTGATCTACCCACAAATCATCAATACCTATAGAATTCTATTAGCAGCCACCTACCTTGATGATGGATGAAACAGATCATCCTCTTCAGACAAGTGTTTTCCAAAGTGCTCCCTAATTAATCCAGCCCACTATATACAAGTACTTAAAAAAATCTCTGTAAATGCTGGGGCTTAATAATAGGCTCCTCTTTGTTGAGTTATAGTAGATCCCTGTCACTGCTCACCACCCACGTTCTGCAGCTACACCACTCCTGTGCAACAGACCAGCTCAGTGTCCATGAGAGCTAGGAATGGAACTTGCTGGAAATAGGCTCTGACTTTTTCTTTTGTCCACATTTATACTTGAGAAATATTTATACAGTCCAGGCATCAGAGGCTAGTATGATACAAAAAGAAATCCAATTAAAAAAATTAAATGTGGTGTCTCCTACTATTCTATCAGTGCTTGGGAGGGAGGAGATAAAGAACAAATAATATAGGCTGTTAGCAAGGTTATGTCCAGGCTCGAACTGATGTTAAACAAATAGTAAGCCAGATTACCATGCTGCTTGTTCCACATTCACAAACCTCTCTCTATGCCTCATTCAACAAGCAATTTCTCTCTCGCTCAAAGCAAGTACCTCTCTGGCCATGGCAAGAGAAGGCAGTGCCACTCCCATATTTAGTAGTCAGCTGGATTTGGTCTCCCCCTTTGTTTCAGCCAGCATGTCAGGACCTTGTTTATGATTCATTAAAGGACAAACTAATGTAATGATACCCAATGACTGACAACAACAGGTCAAGCACAAAGTCGAAGAACATTAAGGGCAAAAATTGCATTGTACGCTCCTCAAAGTAAAAACTTCTTGTGACTAACAGTCCATTTCTAAAAGTGTTCGTGATTTTTAAAGCAAAACTCCATCCATGGTGCTTAGTCCAATTGTTGAGTTTTACCTTCTATAAATCTACTGCAAAAGGACATGCAGTATGTTACAAGCTATAATTAGCATTTCCTTCGCTTGCTTCCAGAGGTGGCCAAAGGGCTGAAATCATCATAGTTTGACACACAGCTGGTCCATTACAGTCTCTTACCCCTCTTTCATATTAGTTCACCATCAAAAGAAAAGCCTTAATCAAGACTTGGAAGAGCCTTAAAAACGTTTTGCAGGAGGGAGTTGATTATAATCTGCAGGCAGCTGGATGATATGCATTGAGGTAGGAACTGGTAACAGAATAGATGCTCTTGCTGGAGAACATAGACCCTGATGCAAGTTTTATTTGTCTAAGGTTACTTAGACCGAGGTTAGGCAGCTAGCATGCTGTGACCACTGCTTATCGTATTGATCACACTCATCTAAGTGTTACCTTAGGCTCTTCTTGTCTGTCTGCTGTAACTAGCCGTTGTCCCATATTTCGATTTTAAGATCTTCTGGGCAGGGACTGTCTTTTAGTTATATCTTTGTATCATGTCTAATATAATGGACCCAAGCCAGTAGGAGCTATTGTAATACAAATAACTGACAAGGGATTTCCTTGCAATTCAAAGATGCCAGAATCTCTCTTTCAGTAGACTATCATAATGAAACAAAATTAGACAGGGCTATTCTGCACCATGCAACTATTTTTCTTATGCCAGTTGGGGGATTGTGGGTACTGGCTTGCAGTGGTAAGGTAAAATATCTGGAAACTTTCTAAACTTTGATGAAGAGAAGAAGTGGTGATCACGTTTTAGAAGGGCTAATAGTAAAATCATGTGACTGAATAGAAAGACATAAGTAGCTGTAAAATTCATGCTGTAACATTTTTCACACTAATACTACAAACGCTACACCTTTTTAACCTTCAGCAATTGGGAGGGGTAGGGAAGAGACCACTGCTCTAACAAAAATGGCAAAATAGTCCTACATTATCCTTTTACCATCAGCAGTAAGATCGTTCTGCTGTGGTGAAATGTTATGGATTTCAATAACCTTATTCTTGCACAAACATAAAAGTGTTTTTTTTATAAAAGATTCTTAGCTGAACAAATTAAAATAACAAATCAAGGTGGGTAGCATGGGAGGAAAGGACTTTATGGAAGCTGAGAAGTTGGGGTTTGATCCTCATACTTCAGTCTTGGCTTTCTTGCGGACTGGGAGAACGCCTTCCTCCTCCGAAGCTCGGGGGGTTTTCTTGGTGTACACCACCCCAAAAGCAGTCTTTCTGGTTTCTAGAATTTAAAAATGAAAAAAAGCAAACTACGTTCAAAACAGATCAAGTAAAAGTGATACTAATATGTTAACTGCTTATTTCAGTCTGTTTCCATACCTGTGCCTAACAAGTACTTCTCCATCTCCCCCCCACAGATAATGCTGGCACAATGCAATGGATCTGAATTATATGTTATTAACACAGTGCTTCTCAAATTTGCATTCTGTTGCCCATTTCATATGGGAGATAACCCCAGACTGCCTCACTCTGTCAATCCCAAATTCCCTCTTTTCATGTGGCATTGCATCCCTTTGCTCTCTATGGTAGCAGCCTGTGCATTTCACACAGCTATGGAGCAGTAAAATATGAGCATTCAAACACATTTAAAAAGGCAGCAGAGACAAAAATGCTCAAACCCAAGAATAAACAGTACATATTCAAAAGTTTAATTATTTCAGTCTCCTGCGTTATGCCACAGAACTGGTTAACAAGATGCTAACAAGGTCATTTCATCCAGCTTTGCAGAGACATCTGGATTCCTCCTTCCCAAAGGAAAACTTCAAATTCTCAAATTTTGGAGAACAGATTCCTGTATGTTTCACACAAGGACCATTAAAACTTGCATTCCACTCACATTCACTGGGTCCTCCAGACACCCTGCTCCTCTTCTTCAGGCATAATTATCTTGACTTTTGGCATCACAAGACACCACAGGCAATAGGGAATGGAAAAGGAAGTGGGACCACTAATTCAATCCCCAGGAGTGGCACGTCTGTTCATCTGCTCATCCTGATGCATGCAAGTGAGTTTACTACCTACCATTCCTCTATTTCTTGGGGATCCTCCTGTGATGTCTCAGAGGAGTTCAGTGGACTTGTTCTGGAACTACTATTGTGGAGAGCACAGTTTCCACACTTCACTGACTTGACATAGGAAACATGCACACTGAACTTTCAGGCACCATCAGTAGGGAAAGAGCTGAAGGTCTTGTGTACCAGGAGGGTGGAGATGGTTTAAAGTTGGTTATTGTTCCAGTGCAAACCCGAAGTGCAGATGTTCTGCGTAGGTATAAGCAATGACTTGCACTGGTCAGTTATGAGGCACATGGTTATTCTCGTACATAAGACCCAAAAACGGGTCACCAATATTAGGCAGGATAATATCTATACATTGTATTTTCTATGGTCTCAATTCCTGAGATCCTGAATGTAGAGAATACAGGAATTCTTGACATAAGATAGAGAAGGGGCAAATATGGCTTTCAGATCCTTGTAAACCCATGAGTTAGGAGGCTACAAGATAGTAACTGAAGGTAGAAACTAGCTCTTGAAGGTGACTTGAAAAGGAGAGAGAAAAGTGGGCTTGTGCCCTGAAGAAGGCCGGAAAGGGTTTGTGCTTTTTTAAAGCAGAAATTAAAAGATAGAAATTCAGGTGTTTGTTTTGCCTGGAGACTACAGCAACAGGAGAACTAATTATATTATAACTTCACAAGAGTCAGGAGACAAAGCTGAATTATTAAGAGAACAAGGACTTGTTCAGACTGTTTAAAACTCTGTTTTCCTTTGGCTACAATCAATGGACTAATGAACATTTTAGAGAAAAGATGCTTCTGTTAAACATTTGACACCTTGCTTCCCTTCAGCTAAGGCGTGCAATCTCACAATAGTTACTTGCATGACCCAATTTCCCCCCCACCCCCCCAAGAGATGCTCCAGCAAAACCAGGGAACATCAGACTTGATATACCCAATATTTATGAAGTTAAAAAAACAAACAAGGAAAAATAAAGATTATCCTGAAAGACTGAAAAGGCCTTTAGGACTTCTTGATATAACAGAAGCAGCTAAAACTGTCAAACCCACTTAAAAATATCTTATACATTGGACAACTGGTTAGAATAAAAAATCAAGTGGATTTGTTTCAGTTTAATACCATAGAGAGAAAAACAGTTTTGCACAGACTTGTAATAGTTTTAAGTAGTGGCAGTGTGGCTTTGCATTAATCAATTAGCACCTAGTTACAATAGTAGGGCATAAATAACCCTTATGCTAATTCTGCTAATTTTACTAGATGCCCAAAAATCCACAATCAAGGAAGGCGGCCATATTGGTTAAAAAATGGCTTAGAGGGAAAGTGAAGGTAGCTATAAAAAATAAAAAACTACTACATAAATGGAAGAACAGGGAAGTTGACAGTAATGAATATATAGAAGTTAGAAATTGTAGAAAATTGATAAGGGAGCAAAGGGACACAAGGGAAAAGCTATGGCTAGCAGAGTTAAGGACAATAAGGAATTTAAGTATATTAGGAACAAAAAGAATTCTGATAATGGTATTGATCCATTAGTAGATGGACGTGGTAGAATTATCAATAATAATGCAGAAATGTTAAATAAATATTTCTGTTCTGTATTTCACAAAATAAACAGATGACATAATGTCATCATATGATAACACACTTTCCATTCCTCTAGCATCTCAGGAGGATGTTAAACAGCAGCTACTAAAGTTAGCCATTTTTAAATCAGCAGTCCAGATAACTTGCATCCAAAATTTTAGAAAAGCTGGCCGAGGAGCTCACTGGCCTCTTAATGTTGGTTTTCAACAGTCATGGAACACTGGAGAAGTTCCAGAAGACTGGAAGAAAGCTAATGATGTCCCAGTATGTAAAAAGGGTGAACAGGGTAACCTGGGTAATTATAGGTCTGTCAGACTGACATTGATAATTGATAATAGAGTGGCTGATACGGTACTCGATTAATAAAGAACTAAAAGAGGAGAATGTAATTAATGCAAATCATCATAGTTTTATGCAAAATAGGTCCTGTCAGACTAACATGATACCTTTTTTTAGGATGATATTTTAGAAGATTACAAGTTTGGCTGATAAAGGTAATAGTGTTGATGTAATACACTTAGACTTCTGTAAGGCATTTGACTTTTGATTAAAAAAGCTAGACAAATATCAAATTAACATGGCACACATTAAATGGATTAAAAACCGGCTAACTGATAGGCCTCAAAATGTAGCTGTAAATTGGGAATCACTGTTGAGGGGATGTGTTCCTACTGTGTTCGCACAAGGATATATTCTTGGCTCTATACTATTCAACATTTTATTCAATGACCTGGAATAAAACATTAAATCACCACTGACGAAGTTTGCCGATGACACACAAATTGGGGGAGTGAGTCAGGTCACTAATACAGAGCAATTCAGATCGCCTGTTAAACAGAGTGCAAGTAAATAATATGTATTTTAATACAGCTAAAACATAACTGTATACATCTAGGAACAAAATGTAGGCCATTCTTACAGAATGGGGAACTCTGTTGTGGGAAGCAGTAATGCTGAAAAAGATCTGGGGGTCATGGTAGGTAATGAACTGAACATGAGCTCCCTGTGCGACCTTGTTGCCAAAAAGACTAATTCAATCGTGGGATGCATAAACAGGGGTATCTCAGGTAGGAGTAAAGAGATTATTTTAACTCTGCATTTGGCACTGGTGCAACTGCTACTTTAATACTCTCTCTAGCTCTGGTGCCCACAATTTAAGAAGGATGTTGAAAAACTGGAGACATTCAGAGGAGAGCCACGAGAATGACTAAAGGGTTAGAAAACCTGCCTTATGGTGATAGACTCCAGGAGCTCGATCTATTTAGCTTCACAAAGTGAAGGTTCAGAGGTGACTTGATTACAATCTGCAAGTACCTACATGCAGACCAAAAAATGGGATCTTCAGTCTAGCAAAGAAAGTTATAACATGATCCAATAGCTTGAAGATGAAGCTAGACCGAATTTAGACTGGAAATATGGCATACAATTTTAACACAGAGTAAATAACCATTGGAACAATTTACCAAAGGTCATGGTGGATTCTCTGTCACTGACAATTTTCAAATCAAGATTGGATATTTTTCTACAAGATATCCTCTAGGAGTTATTTTGTATTATAAAGGAGGTCAGGCTAAAATGATCACAATGGTCTGTTTTGGCGTTGGAGTCTATGAGTCTGGGGTAGTTTAATTGGTTTAGAACAAGGCTACCACCCAAGTGCTGCACTAGGCATTTATTTAGCTGTTAGGATTATAAAATGTGGTTTCATTTACAAGCCCTTAAGGTCGAAGGCAGAATAATAGTCACAACACAGCCACAGTGTTTTAAACTCACCAAGCTATAAAAAGCAACTAGATAAAAGTTTAGGCTTTATTTTCCTCTCCTGAAATCTTATTTGTATTCCATGTGAAAATGCCTTGCAGAAAGGCCAACTGCAGTGTGTCTGAAAGGATACACATGTTGCATTTTGGAAGATGTAACATTTTTCTCCAGAGTATTTGAAAAAGCTCAGCACTTCTGAACAAAATTTCTTGTTTTTTAAAATTCCTTTGCATCCCAGGATTTTAAAAGTGGACATTTAAAAATCGAAAATACATTGTCAAACTTCAAATCAGGCCTTTACAATAAGTAGATTTTTTTTTTTTAAATCTAACTTAGGGGGCATCTTAATTCTGAAGTATTAAAAAGCAATGGCATAACACAGACTTGAGTGTTACCCTCTTCAGTATGCTTGTTCAATCTATCTGCACCTAAAGCATTTCAATCTATTCAAAAGCACTTTACTTTACAGAAGGATGAAAACTGATACAGGCAGTTATAATGGCACCTAACACCACTTGTCAAGTATGCTAGTATCCCCAAGCCATACTTGCAATTTTCACCAACACTAATTGGAAAGATGCTCCTCTATGTGTTGGGAAGAAAAAAACCTCCTATATATGTGTATTGCAAGCAGACAGGAAACATACCTTAAGAGAACCTTGCAAAAGAACTGCTCACTCATCTTGGGTAAGCACCTTTTTTGGCCAGGTAAAGAAAATATCAGCTTTTTTCAACATCGTGGTAAAGGGTGAGCAAGTACATTTTGTCAGGGCAATGCCGTTTCAATATGCTACTGTCACTGCAGATTTGGCAGGAGGATAGAGGCTCACAGTGAATAGGCTCAGACTTTCACATGAAGTCAAACCTGTCATTTACAACAGTTTCAGGTCCCACCTGTTTTGTAGTTTGAGTTCCAGGTCCAGACCCAGTGTGTATCCACCTCATAGAGCAACTCAGTTCTGGCATTAAATTATTTCTATGGTCAAAACTGACCAGTCATTCACACCACTTATTATGGTACACATGGCAGACCTCTCTTACAATGAAAGAGATTCAAACCAGAGTAAACAAATTAAAATAAGAAGTTTCTAAGAGGTGACAGAGTTTTTATTTTATTTAATTTTTGGGGGGGGAGGAGAGGAGGAATCAGTGGCACACTGTAAAGTGGCTAATTGGGAAACTAAGATGTTTAAATTGATATATGGCATGTTGGCTTATTCATCTCTATGCGCCAGTGAATGCAGCACATAATACAACTGGAAACTTGTTGATTTCCACTGCAGTAGGTAAGAGTCAAATTGCCTTCTGCCTGTTGTTAAATGATGACATATATGAGCATATAAAAATTACAGTCGTTGTATAGATTTCTATACTGAAAGCACAATGATACAAGTTCTAATTTTCTAATACTTCAGATCATTGCATCTCTATTAGTAGCATTTCTTAGCAAGCAGAGAACACTGAGTTTGATTTCACATCAAACTTCACAGTGCTCTCACAGCATATGTAAAATGAATAAAGTTGATGTAAAATGAAAAGTCACAAAGGGAAGACGGGGCATCTACAGAAATGCTTAAAGAGGGTGAATGCAACAGAATCTGCTGTCATTTAAGGCCAAATCTTGATCCTATTGAAGTCATTGGCAAAGATCCCATTGATCTCAGCCAGTCCAGGATTTGGCCCTTATGAATCAAAATGCTATTTTGCTACATAATGTAATAGACTGATGTGTGGTTTGACTCTATGATCTGTGCTTTCCCAGAGGAGCCCCATAAGTAGTAGTATAAGTATTCCAAGGCAACCACCACCACTGGTAGAACCATTCATTTCCTCTTACTCCTTGTGGGAGGCCACTGCACTGATGGAGAGAAAAGTACATGGAATGGAGAAGAGGCACCTGTGGATCATCACCTAGAGAAAGAATTCCAAGAAGACTCTTCCTTTAAGAGAGGACCCAGCACCATTTGGAAAATAAAGTGTCAGAGCTGCATTACTAAAAAAAAAAAATTATGTAAGTTAACATGAAACAGAAGATAGTTTGGCTGTTCACTCACCTCCATGAAGAAGGACTGCTCTGCAGTTGGTAGAAATAGCTGCCTTGGCGTCACTTTCAGACAGGCCAAACAACAAACCTCTGTCACCTTTGTTAAGGAGCTTAGTGTACAAAAAGGAGTGAACAGATTAAGTGGTTCTTTCCCCGGGTGTAGATCTGGTCACTTGACAAATAACTGGAAACTATCAAAGCTGCAATTCAGAATGACGTCTTGCATAAAGTTACCCGAAGAGTGGTACTATTGTATGGGTGGCACTTAAAATATCGAGGATCTGATTCAATGCCCATTGAAGCCAATGAAAGTACTTACATTGTCAACATTCTATTGATTCTACTGTTGGATCAGGCCCTAAGCCGAAGAACCCATTCCCTTTTGAGGACAGAACCTTCAGTCCAGTTGAGTATTTTTCTCCAGACTTGTCCCTGTCCAGACTAGCCTTTCATTGGAGTTAGGAAACCATGTTTAAATGCTGTTCCATTGAACCTGGTTTGAAACGTGGTTTTGTAGGGCACTGTGAAAGGGACTAGGAGTTGGCCAGAACATGGAATTTCCATCCTACAGAGTATTCTGAAGCCTTGCGGGAGGTGGAGAATCCTCCTAATTTGGGAAGAAAAAGAAACTTGGATCTACTTTCTACATGGGACAAAACAAGTTTGCCACTCTCCCATGCCCATTCAGAATCCTGATTCAGGAAGGAAATCATCAACTGGCCTCGTGGTGTGAAATACAGCAGGTGTACACATGCCCATATTCTCCAAAAGTGACAAACTAGAATGCGGAGACTTTACTCTTTTTTTTTTTTTTTTTGTCAATTGTAGTATTAGCATTCTCTGGTATTAAAGCGTGAAACCAAAATCTGTTTCTCAGATCTGACACTGTATTATAAAAGCATTATAGTTTACAATCACAAAAGAACCCAAACACTCCTACTGAGGACAAAGCTAATTAGAGTTATTTAACAGTCTTTTTATAGTTGCAATGCTTATGATGAAAGAGTTCTAGTACAGGTAGATTGAACCTTACCTTTTCATTGAAAGGTTTTATTTTATTTTATTTTTAAACTTTGTTTTATTCAACACTGCAGTTGGGGACATACACTAAAATCTCTTCTATATTTCTAAAGTATGAATTTTGTTCTGAAATTAATAATTCAAACAATCTTCCTGCTGCCATGAGTTCTGTTACAATCACTATGTATTGTATCAAGGATCCGACCTACGTAAGTCACAAATTTTAAAGAGGTCTGGAGGGTGGGGGAGAGAAAGGCATAGAAATATTTTTATTGCAATATCAAATATTTAAAAGTAAACTGCAAGTTTCCTATATTATTCTTAAAGATCAGATTTTACTTGGGAAAGGATACAGATTAGCCACATCATAAGGACCTCGAAGTTCTAATGGCTAAAACAGACAACACAAGTGTGAATATCTACACACCCCCTCAATGTATTTTAGAGAATCACAGTTTGCAAGATAAGATTATTTACAGAAACTATCAGCCATTAACTGTTAATTTAAATTTCATATAATCATGGGTTCCCGAGTTGCTGGAGATGCTAACATGACAGCAAGACAATTGCTTTCACCAAGGGAAAACAGGAAGTGCCCACTTCCACTAGCAGAATTAAGAAAATTCAACAATAAAGTGATACAGAGGAAACCAAAAGAAAAATTCAAAAGAGTAATTATATTGATGCTTATATTTCTAGCAGAAATTTATTTACATTACATTTATTTACATTAAAAAAATAGACTTACCCTTTCAGCTGCACTAGATATAATTATGTTCTAAAGAATAAAGGAAAACGAGCATTAATCTTAGATAAATGTTATTAATAAATTGAAGATTAACATAAACCCAACACTAATACTCCTATGAGTATCATTTGAAGTTAAGAGTTAATTCTGTTGCCCTATCTAGCAAAAGTATCTGCTGCTTTCTGGAACAAGGAAATCCATGAAGATTGTGTATTATGGCTCCTTGGAAACAATAAACCAAAACCATCTATCAGCTCTGCATCATAATTACACTCATTCCATCTACAGCTGTGTCTGGCCTGGGTCAGCTGACTCAGGCTCACGGGGCTTGGGCTGCGAGACTGTGAAATTGCTGTGTAGATGTTCAGGTTCAGGCTGGAGCCCAGGGTCTCAGACCCTCCCGACTCATGGGGTCCCAGACCTCAAGCTCCAGCCTGAGCCTCAATGTCTACACAGCAATTTCACAGCCTTGTAGCCCGACCCCAAGTCAGCTGCCCCAGGCCAGCTGCAGGTGCATAACTGCTGTGTAGACGTACCCTTAATTACAACCCCTCACCCACAGGTGTGAAAAAGCCAGAGTTACATCAGCTATGGGATGACCCAAATAGTCTGTCTCTCTGTTTTGGAGTTGAACACACAAAACAAAACCCCTAACTCTTCTGAGGGCTGGATTTTTAAAAGATTTTTTGATGGGGATTGGAAAAAAAAACAAAAAACCCACTTCTAATTAATTCAGCAATGGGGAGATCAAATCTTCAGCACATTTTGGTCCCTATTAACAATTATACTGGCTAAAAGATCTAGCCTGACGTCAGCCAGTGAGAACCCATTGGTATCATCCACTGACTTATCACCACTAATACTGATAGCCCTCAATATCAGCATCTATGCATTCAGATTAAAATGGTCGGTGAAGGAAGAATACCACAGTCCTCTCCCATCTCCCTGGCTGGCTAACTCCCCTCTTTCCTTCACTAGGCTTCTATGGGACCCCTAGGCCATGGCAGAGGGTGACTGTTTCAGGGGCTCACACATCCCAGTTCTTTGCATAGCTGCCACAGTTTCTTTAATGGTGAACCCCAAAGGACTCCTGCCTGTAATGACTTGAGATAAGGTGCTCATGGAAACCTACCTCTAAAGCATTAGCCTTAAAGATCTCTCATACCATTTTAAAGATGAAAATAGGGCTGTGGGATTCCTTTTCAGGGCAAAGCCTGAGCTGTGAGGTCTCTGCACTCTTCCCGCTGACATCACTGCCCCTTACATACCACACGTCCCCAGTTAGGGGGATATGGCCCATTTGCTGCTCTTCTACATGGCTTCACTTGCCCTTCGCTTTCCAAACACAAGGAGTGGAGCATGGATTTGAGGAGAGCAACTGCGTGCACAAGTAGGAGCTCTGATTACCTCAGAGCTATTTGCATTTCCATGGAACGACCTCACTGTCTCCACTATGCACAAGACTTCTTCTGGTGCTGAGCACGAAAGAACGTGCAGACCCCTATGGCTCAGAGAGCACTAAAAGCCAGAAGCAGAAGTAACACATAGAGGAACTCCCCCCCCCACACACATCAGGAAAGATCTCAGGAGATGTTTTTGCTTTGCAGGTCACCTTTAAACCTGCTTACTATGGATCTCAAGGGTGCTTTTGAGTTTCAAGGGTGTTGACTGCTTCAGCTGGAAAAATTAAGCCTGCTGTTTTGAGCTGCAGCAGCCAATTCCTGTCTTCCAGACTCTGTGCAGAAGGGGAACAGCCAACAGAGTCCAGGAGGTGGCAACACCACAACTCCCCTTAGCTGGAGGGAGGCCAGAGGAGAGTCCCTGCCCAGTGCTGAGGCACGTGGGCACGGGAGGCTGAGAAGAAAGATTCAGGAGGTGGTGCTACCTATCACATCTCCACAGAGAAAGGGAAAAAGAAAGCTGAAATTCCTCCTCCTCTGCATGTGATGTGAGGCCCCACCAGGATTGACAGGTTGCCCTAGTGGGATGCAACATATCAATAGGAGGGACATGAGGATCTTCAGATATAAGACTTCCTTCATTCCTCAGTTTCAGAAGCAGGGCAGAATGTAGGACAGAGCTATTTCAGCCAGAAATCTGCCCTGTGGCAGCCAGCAGTATGGGCTTGTTTTATGTAATAGGAGTTTAGTGATGTTTTCACTTAACTGTTTTTAAATACATGCAAGATCCTGTATTTAAAGTATTTTGTAAGATATGATATGGTATGATACAATAGTTTAACATATGTACAGATGCCTAGATCTACAAGATGTGCTTTTTGTTATTTAGAAATTCACTACATACCTTTAACAATATGCACAAACATCTATTTTTGTGCAAATCTTAAGTCTCCAGGACTGTTTTTTGTGAATGCCCTGCATCGCCCCAGTATTATAGCTGCAGTAACTGACAGGTTGCTCTGAAAAAAGTCTCGACCATTTTAAAAGCATCGGCCTTAGAAAATATTAGCTGTTCCACAGCCAAAGATATTTGTAGTTGGAATTATGGTTTGCACGTATTGGCAGGCAAAGGCTCAGTCATGTGTTCAGAAATTCCAGCATCAAACCTTCTTGAAACTGCTCAGCTGATGCAACTCCAGAAGAATCTGAACAACTGACTGAATTAATTGTATTTCGGTTTGAGAGCTCACCTTTCCTTTGCAGATCTGCATCAGACTCAGAGCATTTGAAATTGTGTATCTTCTCATTGTGGAGTCTTTGATGGCAGGGGTGTAAAGAAGTTCAAAGTAAACACCGCGATCTATTGCCTTCACATGAAAGAAAGAAAATAATCAAAAACCAAAAGCAGAGTCGCATACCAATCTTACAACTAGTGTCTATTATTGATGACTTCTTCGCTCAGTTCTACCGCTTTATATACAAAACTAACGTGCGGCAGGAATTGTTCCAACAGAAACACACCGTAGTCTGAAGGGTGAAAATAAAGATATTGTGTCTGTATGACATGTAAATGCACTTGAACTTAAGACTGTCAGGTAACTGAGGCTTATAATAAAAATTAAAAAAAAAGCTCTCTCTTCCTCTCTACTTGCCCGGCTGTAATAGGCTTTCAGATGAGAGACAAACACAGTTGTTCAGCTGCAAGTGTGGAAGTCTCAAAGCGTGAGAGAGAGAACAGTGGGAAGTTTCCTCTCTTCAGAAGGCCAATCATGGCTCCAAACTCTGAAGATCTGGTTAATCACTGGAGCATTTCATGAACAGATAGGCACTGTAAAAATCGACAGAACACTCCTTCTGCAGCTTCACAGCTGGCCCTGAAGAGTATCACTTTCCAAAGTTGAGGGTTCTCCCTAGCACCCATCACCATAGTACTCAAGTACTGACTAATGGAGAAGTTATTCCGGAAGAAGAGTGAAGTTAATTAAATCTTCCCCACCCCATTTGACAATTTTTGAAGGAAAGTAGATTGTAGTACAGTTTGTTATTATTATTTCTGTTGTGGTAGTGCCTAGGAGCCCAGCCATGGACCAGGACTTCATTATGCTAGGTGCTGTACAAACACAGAACAAAAGAGCATTAACCCACCCTCACAGCCCCTCTGTGAAACAGATATTCTCACTTTTGCAGATAAGCTCCTGTCTCTGTAGTCAGCTCACTGCACAACACTATCTCACACTAGCGTTATGGAGCTTTATAGCAAGATGTTGCAGTACACGAAAGAGAACCTTCTTATTTCATTTGTCCAATTAGCTGCTGTGCCTGTCCTCCACATACACCCAAGCATGAGGTTTATCAAACGTCATCACTAGCGCTGGTCAGAACCAGAGAAACCTGCCTGCCAAACAGGTTTCAGTCAGAAACCTGACTGATTTCCTGCCAGCTTGCCTGCCCCAGTCCTCAGCAGCCCACCAGATGGACTGTGCCAGAGCTGGGGCTCTCAGGGTATGTCCACACAACAATGTAAGCCTCGGGTTAGTGGGACTCGAGTCAGCTGACCCATGTCAGGGAACCCTGTGCTTGAGTGTCTACACTGCATTTTAACCCTAGGTTAAGGATTTTCTGACCAATGCTTGAATCTAGGGCTCAGTGCACAGACCTGAGTCAAAGTAACCCTATCCCAGAGTGCCTAGCGCCACTTCTCTCCCCCCGCAATGTCAACACTCTAGGCCTAGGAATGTGATGCACTGTGGAAAAACGCTACTGCCCACCCTGTTTCTACACTGGGGTGGTGCCATTGATGCGACTCAGGTGCCCATAAGAAGCCCACAAGTACATAAACTTCATAACTAGCTCCTCTGGTGGCTGTCTCAGGACAATGACTGCAGTTTGAGGAGGCTTTATACTGAACTACCATCTAATCTGAGAATTGGGCTCTCTACCTCTAGGCTGAGTCACATTGGCAGGAAAATGCCCATGTGCACCCGTTCTCAGGATAATTAGGACATCAGTGTTCAGGGCTTTCAAACTATTGAAATGAAACGTTACAATTATTAATTTTTAAAATGGGATGTTCAGCAAAGGTGTTTTTGTTTGGTTGGGTTTTATTTATTTTTGTCTGTTTTGAAGTTTGACATAAAATGTAGGTTTCAGAGGAAAAACACTCCCACCCCCAACAGCTGGCTGCTGCTGGCTGCAGGGTGGTGAAGTGCATCCCTAGGGCTTGGGGTGCAGTGTGCTCCAGTGTACTCCATTTGCAACAGAGTGGAACAGACTGCATCACAAATTGTTGGCATAGAGAGGACTAAAGAAGCTGCCCCAGGGAACTCTGGGATAGATCCCAGAAGGCCTCTGGATGTGAGTCAAGCTGGAGTTGCGTGCACACAGGAAAGCAATAGGGCTCGGACCCTAGGCCCCAGCTTAACATGGACTTGGACCCTCCAGTCCTGCAGGGTCTTGGGGTGCTAGGTTTGAGACCTAGGTTAACACATTTGGTGTGTGGACACAAGGGGAGGTTAGGCTTGAGCCCAGGCTTATATTGGTGTGTAGACATACCCTCAGGGTCCCTGTGCTGCCCAGCTCCCCACATGGAGAACTGCTGGGGCTCTGGGAGCCTCAGAAACATTTTGAGAGGTCAAAACAAAAATGTTGTTTGGGAAAAAAAATCTGAAACAAGATGCTGAAATTTCTGTTCTGTGAGAAATTTAGAAATTTCATTTTTCATTCCATAGCAGAACAATTTTTTTTGTTATTCCTATGGAACAGGAATTCAAGTTTCCAGCCAGCTCTAGCTGTACATTTTCAACAACAAGGACTAAAAGCTACCCATGGATGCCCACCCATGAGTAACTGCTACTGACAAGGAGCTGATGTTGGTCCATATTCAAGGAAAGAATCTGACCTAAGTATCCAGACTAAGTTGTGTGGGCAGGATTTTATTTATAAAAGATAGTTTATAAATGCCTGATGCTTTGTTTTTACTCTAACTTTTATCCAGTATCAAATATTCAGCAATTCCATTGGCTGGCACTGATTTCATTTAATGAAGCACTGCCTTACACAGATGAGACCTCAGTATAGTCATGGTGTAGAAAAGTAAGGAGGGAACACATCTTCAAAGAAAAACCACCCTGTAGTACAAGAGCAAGAAAAAAACCACTCCAGTGGAAAACCTCAGTTGTGTTAGTATTATATACTGAGTTTAATAGCAGCAAATGTTTTAGTTGCAAATTTACCATGTTAACAGGGGGTCTTCGGAAGTAGAATGGCAGCTTTTCTGTTACATTTATGCATATCAGATCCACATCTAGATTTGTGCAAGCGACCTACATCACAAAAATACAAACAGATAAGGCACCTTTAAGTGGGCTGCTAGCTTTAGACATGCAGACATTTGCTATATCACAGATATGTCAAAGGGATTTCCAGCGTAGTCTATGTTTTAAATCCAAGAGCTGTTCCACAGGGATACCAGCAAGACACTGCAACAGTGCCATGTGGGTATGTTGGATTTATTTATTTTTAAAGCACTTGGCACTTTTAAAGCACTTTTTCCATTAAAATAAACAGATAGCTTAGCAGTGGGCATCATTGCTTTGCTCTCAGTTGGTTGTAAGGCACCCCTTAAAGTGGGGTTAGCAAAGTGATCCACCCTTACCAGACACATTGCTAATACAGCAGAGCCTCCTTTTTCCAAACAAACTGCAAAGTTACTTCTCAAGTCCCAGAGGGATGATTCTTATTTGCTTTAAGGAAAAAGGATTTGGCCTAGGACAGCAGCACTTCAGACACTGCTAAGTGACTGTGGTTTTGGGTGACCAACTTGAGACCCATTAAAGGAGCCTGATCTTCAGAAAATGCTCAGCACCCACCTTCTGAGGGTCTCAAATTGGGTGCCCAAAATCACTACGCACTTTTAAAATCTTGGCTCCAGGCTACTAGGGTACATCCCCACAATTTACATTCTCTTTGAGAAGAAAAGAGCTAAATGTGGCCAATGAACTGTCTAGAGACAGTTAACTCCCCATGAGGGGACCACGTGAATCATATAATTTCTCACACAAGACATTAATTGCATACACTGTCTTGTTCATGCTATATATGCATACACAGTAAAGATGATTATAGGGGACCAGATTTTCTGGTCCATCAAGGCCATTTTAAGGCTGGAAGCCATAAAGTGGCTGGAGATGGTCAGTGCAGAATTCCCTGTGTGTGTGTGGGGGGGGGGGGGGGAATTCCCCACTAGCACAACCTGAACCAGCCAAAGAGCCGCCCCCAATCCCTTCTCCCCACCACTGTAAGGCAAGTAAGCGTGTCGGGGTTTTCCAGGGCACAGCACAGAGCTCGGCAGCTCCTAATGAGGGAATTGCATGTGGTTCCCTGCAACATCACTTCTCTACTCTGTCTGAGCACAGCTTGGTTGGAATGGAGAATCTAGCCCATACGTTATCACCAGGTGCGCTGCAAAGCAGAACCCAGCTTCCCCCCCATTTTCTGTTTCTCAATGAAGTTCAGTTCAAAAGTCACTTTTGGTTTTTTGTTCTAAAATTAGCAATGTAGGGTCCTCCCTTCATTCTCTTCACTCAACACCCTGGCAAATTTTTTGGAGGTGCTGAACCATGTCTCATAAGACCAATAGCAGAGGTGTAGCTCTCCCACATCCCTACCTACTAGCCTTGTATATCATCACTATTCCAGTCCTGCAAGGGGCTTACCAAGATCCTCCAGGGAAGAGAGATTAGGAACACTAAGGTCTAAAATGCTTCAGAAGGCCATCTTTATACATCATAAAGGAGACGAGTAAACACTTCTGGTTTTGCTTCCTGGTCCCTTGAAGAAGGGATCTCTGTTAATCAGCCTGTGTCAGGGCGAACTCGACCCACACTGGATGGGGAAGTGTTAACCCTACATTATGGGATGAGGAAGCCATGCCTCAACTCTACTGGGCATGCTCCAAATGCACTAGTATAAAAGGGAGAAGCTCAGCTCAGTTGAGGCGGACTGCTGGAGAGGAAGGACACACGCCGTAGGCTCCAGCCAAAGCCCAAGGCCGTGGGAGCCGGAGACGCCGCAACCCAGGCAGATGCCAGGTTACCCAGGGAGGCCTCACAAAGTCTGGAGTCACCGGCGCAGACTGGGGAACCTGGAGACAGCGGAGATGCTCAGGCCGCAGCAGTGGGAACCACGGCAGGAAGCAGCCCAGGGGAATTATATAGTGGCTTGATTAGTGAACCAGAACCTTTAGTCAGCATGTTTTGGTTGGACCCCCTGCTGACTCAGTGGCATACACTCTTGACACTACCAGGGCCCTGAGCTGGGGCCCGGTGGAGAGGGAGGGCCTGGGCCCCCCCACCTGGGCCGCTATCACCCCCCTTTTTTGTGCGTGACTGACTGAGGCCACTTGGTCTTACTGCTCTGCTAACAGGGCAGATTATTGACTCTGACTGCTAGGCCTTACTGCCCTGCGGACTGGGGGCGAATCCATTGACTTTGGCCACTAGGCCTTACTGCCCTGCTAACAAGGGCGGAACCATTGGTTTTGGCCAGCAAGCCTTACTGCCCAGCTAACCGGGGCGATCCTGGTGACTGTGATTAGGCTCTACTGCCCAGCTATTGACTTTAGTCACTGGGCTTTACTGCCCTGCTGACGGGCGAATCTGTGAACTTTGCCACTAGGCCTTATTGCCCTGCTAATAGGGGCAAGTATATTGGCTTTGGCCACAGAGACGTAAACATGGGCTACTTACACCCTGCCCCTACAACCCTGTCACACAGCCCACATTGCTGTAATGCAAGAGTCTCCAAAGCACAATTGTTTTACACCATGTACAAATGATTCCTAGATATACTGAAGAGGGCTTTGAGGAATATTGGCATTCCAAAATTTAGGCCCCATTTACCCTCCGTTTCAAACCAAGTTTGATAAAGTGTTCAAAATCAGTTTAACTGCAGTTCTAGCTTAACAGATTTCCAACCAGCTGGCTATCCTATCAGACACCCATTTAGATGGAATGCTGTTTAAACTGAGTTTAAGTATGGTTCCTTGGTCCGAGTATGGACAGAGCCTTAATCTATTTTTATCCCCTTCCTTATCTACAGTCTAATGCTATCAACTGGAAAGATGGGCAACTCATAGGACACCTACAGGAAATTGCAATCATCATTTTGGATTCTCTTTGGCTACTTACAAACTTTCTTTGATATTTAAAATGTCATCCTGGCCATTCCTGTTATCAAGATACTGACAAAGAGCCAAGGGGTTAGTGAATTTAGTGTGTAAATGTTGACAGTGAGCACAAACAACGCCCTCATTGGGCTTTGAATCATCCCCTACATGGGACAGCAGCAAGGGCACAGGAACTGGAGACAGGAAGACACAAACAAGCGAATGAAAACAAAGGATCAGTCCACATTGCAATAAAACACTCACGGCTGGCCTGTGTCAGCTGACATGGGATTGCAGGGCTCAGGCTACAGGGCTATAAAACTGCAGTGTAGACATTCAAGCTCAGGCTGGAGCCTGGCCTTTGGGACCCAGCCTGAATGTCTATACTGCAGTTTTATAGCCCTGCAGCCCAAGTCAGCTGACACGGGCTAGCCACGCGTGCTTTATTGCAGTGTAGACATACCCAAAAATACAAAACAGAAGTTCCAGCAGATGTTGTGTTGTGGGATGACAGAGAACCAGCCTCTCTCCACTCCTGAGTTGATTAGGAAAATATCTATTCCATGTCACGAATGTGCCACAACTGGAGGGGGAACTGTTCAAATTCAAGAATACCAGCCCGGACTCCCAGTGATTAGGAGCTGTCACAAGGAAAAAAAAGGAAAAGCCAAACTAAATAGAAGAAAGAAGCATATTTAAAGGGAGAATTCCTAAATTGTCAAGAAAGTTGGAACATTTGCTGAGATCCACTCTACTCCAGTAACTGCTCAGTCTTTGGATCAACCAGACAAGTCACACAGAGTCTGGTTGCCCAAACTTAAAAAGAAAAAAAATACATGGAGTCCTACCACTACAGCTCAGATCATGCACCCTCAATGGAGACAACAGCCTCATCTGGTGGACACATTGGTGTTAGCAATAAAATAAATGAGTTATCCCTTGAAATTCCCAAAGACAAAAAGGCTTACACTTTGGCAAAGTGATATTTTACTGATGAAGCCAATAAGATTTAAATGTTGACGTCTGAAGGAGATGCTTCAAAGGAAGATCAGGTAGATGCTAGTGAAATACGACCTACCTATTAATTTATTTAACAATCAACAGGACATTCAGGCTCTAAAGAATAATGTATTGCTCTAATTTCTTGTGTAGTCTGAACATTCCAGTTCCAGTTGTTTTACATTGTTACTAGTGCCTCCTGGAAAGATCTTGAGCCACCTTAGGATAAAATAAATAGAATCATAGGACTGGAAAGGACCTTGATAGGTGATCTAGTCCAATCCCCTGCACTGATGCAGGACTAAGGATTATCTAGACCAGTGGTTATCAAATTGGGGTACACATACCCCTAGGAGCACACGAGCTCTCATGGGGGTAGGCGAGAAAAATCCTCTAACGGTGGACAACACACTTTATTTAGTAAGACTTGGCAATCTAATCAATGTTTAATCTCCATTCAATTAAAACTGAAGCCATACTGGTGCAAATTTCCTTTCTGCTTTGTGACTCAGAATCAGAAGTTTTCAAACTGTGGGGCGTGCCCCCCTACAGCAGGGGTGGGCACACTACAGCCCGCGAGCCGTTTTAAGCCGGCCCGCGACCCTGCTGAGGAGCGAGGTCTGGGGCTTGTCCCACTCTGGCGCTCCAGCTGGGGTGCTGGGTCGGGGGCGGCACCACGCAGCTCGGCCCCACTCTGGTGCTCCGGTTGGGGGCTGCACCTCTGCCCCATCCCTGATCCCCCTCCTGCCCTCTGAACCCCTTGGTCCCATCCCAGAGCACCCTCCTACACACCAAACTCCTCATCCCCAGCCCCACCCCAGAGCCCTCACCCCTTCCCGCACCCCAACCCCAATTTCGTGAGCATTCATGGCCCACCATACAATTTCTATTCCCCGATGTGGCCCTCGGGCCAAAAAGTTTGCCCACCCCCGCCCTAGAGGGACAAGGAGGAATGTTCACGGGGCAGGGCTTGGGGAGGAAGCTCTACCTCACCTCATGGGGCCACCCAGTCCGTCTGGTTGGGGGGGGGGGGGGGGGAAAAGAGGTTGCAACCAAAAACTGTAACTCAAGGGAGGTAGGGGGTTTCAGCTCAAAAACTTTGAGAACTGCCACTCCCATCCCCATCCTAAGCGTTCCTTTGAACCCCCAGGGGGGCACACAGTTTGAAAACCTCTAGAAGCTGTTGCTAAATGGAAGGCAGAACCCCCCGCCCCTGCACACATTGCTTCTGCCTATCTCAGATGGGAGTACGTGATAGACTACATTATTTGGACAGGGGTACGCAGCCCAAAAACTTTGAAAACCACTCATATGGACCAGCCCTCACAGGTGTTTGCCTAACCTGTTCTTAACCTCCAATGATGGATACAGATTCCACAACCTCCCTAGGTAATTGGTTCCAGTGTATAACTACCCTTAAAGTTAGGATGTTTTTCCTAACCTATATCTCCCTTCTTGCAGATTTTTTCTGAGGTCATTTGCATCTTTCAAAACCTAAAAACAGAAAGAGTAAGACAGTCCAAGGCACCTTAGAAAACTATTCAATAAGAGGAACATTAATTTAAAAGAAAAATCAATCAAATGGGAGTTTTCTTAAACTACAGTTGTTACAAGTAAGATTTAAGATTACTATGGCTGAAAGATATTAGAAAAAAAAATCTTTCAGTGTATTTACTTTATATAGTCAAATTCTACCTCTGTCAGTTTCCTGTACATATGAGTCTTTCACAAGGCAGAGGTAAACAATTTTTTTTTTTTTTTTTTTTTTTTTTAAAGCAGGGAAGTTTGATGGTTATACTACAAAAATAGGCTGGGGAGGCAGGAGCATACAGTGGCAGCTGTAGTAACAGAAAATAGTTTTCAGTCATTTTTTTAAATAGACTCCATTCCAAGTTGGCAGACTTCCTTTGAAAGTGAATACTGGCATTCCCATCAAGAGATTCAGTAGTTGGTAGTCCATCATCTCCCACGTTAAAGATCAGTTTGTTCACTGTCAGTCAGATTAGCAAAAGCAGACGGTTACATGCTACTCATGCTTGGAATTACGCAGTTAGCAGAGAAGCCTAATGAGTTTTCAATCAATGAATCCACATGACAATTTTATGTGTGCAAAACATTTTGATAAATGTCAGGTTGTGTCAGACCGTCAGCCTGATTGGGGCACTCACACCAGCTACACAAATATCGCACATTTTAACACTTTGTATACGAGACACAGGGGGGTAGTGAATGTCTACTGCCTGACTAGTTAATCCAGAAACCACTCTGCATTAGATAAAAACGAACAGGAGTACTTGTGGCACCTTAGAGACTAACAAATTGCTCTAATAAATTTGTTAGTCTCTAAGGTGCCACAAGTACTCCTGTTCTTTTTGCGGATACAGACTAACACGGCTGCTACTCTGAAATCTGCATTAGATAGTGCTTTAGAACCAATAGTTTTCTGGCCGTGGTGTTTGTTCAAGATATATTGACAAAGAAACAGTACAACTTAGTGTGCAGTGGAATGCTCAATAACCACCGGAGTCTGATTGCACATTAAGTGTATTTCCACAGCAACTGTAAAATGCTTAAAAACATGATGGCCAGAAAACGCAGTTGATCAAGAAGCCGAACCTTCTCCTGTCTGACAGAATGACTCTGAAAAGATATGGTACTGTGAGGGGAAAATGTAATTTCTACTACTAATTATTTGTATTACCATAGTGCCTAGGAGCATCATGGACCAGAACCTCACCATGCTAGGTGCTGTACAAACAAAGACAACCCCTGCCTCAGAGAGCTTACACTCTAAGTAGAAGACAAGAGACAACAGATGGATACATGCAGACAGATGGAGTAGGACAAGGAAACAATGAGCACTATTGGTCAGCGTGATAGGCTGTGATTTCAGGTCACTAGTGGCCTAACCATTGTCAAGTTTTCTGTAGGCTTCACAGCACAGGTGAGTTTTAAGGGGGGATTTTGAGGAAGGTAATGAGGTGGTTTTGCAGATGTTTACAGGGAGCTCCTCTCAAGCCTGAGGAGATGGAGGGAAAAAACCCACAAAAGTGCTTGTCTGAAAATTAAACAAAAGGGAGATGGAGGCTGGCATTATGAGCCAATTGGAGGCAGGAGAAAACCTCTTGATACTCAGTGAGAGATGATAGGCAGGGTGAATGTCACCTTACTGGATAAGAGCAGAACAAATTTTCTCTATCAACTACAAAAACTGAACCACATTAGATCATATTCAAACACACGAAACTGCCTTTATAAGTTGACAGGAATAACAATACAAATTTTAAAAGGTATAAAATAGCTGTATTTTGAGTGATAACCAATATGAGAAGCAAGCCTTATTTAACTGGTTCCTGAATATATATCACAGAAAGACTAAACCACTAAAGGTGAATCTTTCTCAGGAGTATGGTGTGGAGCCCTTTCACTGTGATAGTTTGTAGTGTCCAAAACATCTGTTTAAAATATAAGAAGATTTCTGTGTAGCAACACATTCAGAGACTGAATCTTTACCAATGTCATGGGAACAGGGTAAACCTGAAAGTTTGTTTTGAACTATCACACTATTGTGTTCAAGAAAACTACAGCTTTCCCTTAAATATTTTTCTCCTCTTAAATGCTTTTGCCTGGGTTTACTTCACTTCCTGCAGCTTCAGTGCTGCCCTTGGCAGCAGAAGGGAAAACTGCACACAAATATTTTGTAAGAAAAACCATGGTTTTGCAAGAGCAAAGCTTTCTCCTCCTACATTTGGCAAAAGCCAGTCTCAATGCCAAGGGAGACTTTTTTTTTTTTTTAAATGGAAACATTTGATTTAGGAAAATACATTCTACATGTGCAGAGACTAAAGAAGCAAAGCTGTGTCCTGCCCTACCCTCCTCCACCCTATTTTTTTTTTTTTTTTACAAAATGATTGGCTGCTATTTCCATATGGCTTTTCAGTAACAGATCTCAGACTTTTTTTGTGGGGGGCAGGTAGTAGGTCAGTGAGACAAAGTCACCCACAAAACCCCACTGCTCAAACATTTAAACCCTACATTCCTTCAGTCATCACAAAGCATCATTTCAACAGCGTTCTAAAACAATTCCTACTAAGCCAAAGAGCTAATGAGCTGAGGAAGGTGTTTAAATTTGGGAAGTCAAATGGTTTGAGACAAACTTTCTAAACACTTACAGCTTAACATGGGTAATGGATGCTTTTCTCTCACTGCCACTCGGTGTGCTTTTTCTGCCTTGCACTCTATCCAGTTTGAGATGAAATCCAAGCAGAACACTTGCCTAATCCAACCCAAAGCACTAAACATTATTCCAGCATTGGCAGCTACAATCACAAATGGATTCTCAGATGCGTCGAGAGAGGATATATATATGTGTATTTAATACTTACGTGAAACAGTTTCTCTGTCTTTGGAAACACTGCTATGATGTCATACAATCTTATATTTGTAGATGTTGATCTCTGACAAAAAGGAAAAAAAAATCACGCTAATTTATGGAAGATGCTAAAGGTATGTACTATGAAAATTGCCAAAACAACTACTAATAGAAGCCACGCTTCTCCAATTGTGAGTTGTAAAACCAAACCACTCCTATTAAGGCTCTATTAGCAGCCCTATCTGCTGACAGTGTTTCACCACGGTCATTATTTTGGCGCTCATTCTACACAATAAGTAAAGCACTAGCGACTGTTTGCCTTGTAAGCCACACACATGTCCTACTTTATCACTTACATTTTTTAAGTCCTCCCCTCGCCCAAGTTATTAGAACACCCAGCAAAACTCCCTGGAGCCTCAGGAGGGAGGAGGGGAGAGGGATAGTTATGCTGGAGTTCAAGTTTAAAAAAAATTAAACAAACAAATGCAGTATCAGCTCTATTGTCATATTTTAAAATCTGAACTCAAGTTCTAGAGATGGGGTGATGATTTCATGTTTTAACACTTCTTCCCCCACCTTATCACATGGGTTGGTAGCAACACTTTACTTGAAGCCTTCAGGCACGGGAACAGAACTCTGATTTCTCATGGCAGCATGTTACACCATTAGTAAATCACCAGTGCAGAGCACATCCCAGTTTTATAAAGTGACATCTTCAGAGAATGATGTGATCGTAAGGAGACATTATAGCTCAGCAAATTAGTGCAGTATTTTTTGTGAAATCCATAAAATTTCAAAAATAACATTTTACTATGAAGAGAAAATACAACTTACAAAATAAATACATTTTAAAACACTTACCAATACATTGCAGTGAGAAGGATCAGAAACTACAAGTGTTAGTCTGGTTACAATTTTAATTGGTTTGGATTTTCCCTGTAAGCAAAATAAACCATCAAAGAGACTGTTGATGAAAGTACAAAGCAAAAACCTAGCTAATAGATTTTCATGCCTATTATTATAAATAGAGAATGATGTTTTGTTTATATTTTTGACTATACCAATTTTTTGATCACTTCTAAATATACTCTTCATATTTTTGTCTTTCTAATTTTAATGCTTTGCTTCTGTATTTTTTTGGTACATTTCTGCTCTTCAGGAATAGTGGATTTTCTTGTATTTATTTGACATCTGTTTTTGCTTTAAACAAACGAACAAAAAATCAACACAGCAGAGTAACAACACGTTTTATTGTGTTACCGCTACTGTTCTCTAATCAAACAATAAGGGCACTACAAATGCAGTTTTAAAATTGAAGTCCATTTTTATATATACACCTCTACCCCGATATAACGTGACCTGATATAACACGAATTCTGATATAACGTGGTAAAGCAGTGCTCCGGGGGGGTGGGGCTGCGCACTCCGGTGGATTAAAGCAAGTTCGATATAACGCGGTTTCACCTATAGTGCGGTAAGATTTTTCTGGCTCCCGAGGACAGCGTTATATCGAGGTAGAGGTGTCTTGCAGTTTACAGAAGATAATGCTGCCCACTTCTCGTTTACAATGTCACCTGAAAGTGAGAATAGGTGTTTGCATGGCACTGTTGTAGCTGGTGTGGCAAGATATTTATGTGCCAGATGTGCTAAAAATTCGTATGTCCCTTGATGCTTCAACCACCATTCCTGAGGACAGGTGTCCATGCTGATGACGGGTTCTACACAATAATGATCCAAAGCAGTGTGGATCGAGACACGTTCATTTTCATTATCTGAGTCAGATGCCACCAGCAGAAAATTGATTTTCTTTTTTGGTGGTTTGGGTTCTGTAGTTTCTGCATCGAAGTGTTGCTCTTTTAAGACTTCTGAAAGCTTGCTCCACAACTGTCCCTCTCAGATTTTGGAAGGCACTTCAGATTCTTAAATCTTGGGTCGAGTGCTGTAGCTATCTTTAGAAATCTCACGTTGGTACTTTCTTTGCATTTGTCAAATTTGCAGTGAAAGTGTTCTTAAAATGAACAACATGTGCTGGATCATCATCCGAGACTGCTATAACATGAAATATATGGAAGAATGTGGGTAAAACAGAGCAGGGGACATACAATTCTCTCCCAAGAAGCTCAGTCACAATTTTAATTAACACATTTTTTTAACAGGCGTCATCAGCATGGAAGCATGTCCTCTGGAATGACGTCCGAAGCATTAAGAGGCACATGAATCTTTAGTGCATCTGGCACATAACTATCTTGCCACGCCAGCAACAACAGTGCCATGCAAATGCTTGTTCTCACTTTCAGGTGACACTGTAATTAAGAAGTGGGCAGCATTATCTCCCGTAAATGTAAACAAACTTGTTTCTCTTAGCGATTGTCTGAACATGAAGTAGGACTAAGTCGACTTGTAGGCTCTAAAATTTTATATTGTTTTGTTTTTGAGTGCAGTTATGTAACAAAAAACCCTACATTTGTAAGTTGCACTTTCATGATAAAGAGATTGCACTACAGTACTTATATGAGGTGAACTGAAAAATACTATTTCTTTTGTTTATCATTTTACAGTGCAAAAATTTGTAATAAAAAATAATATAAACTAAGCACTGTACACTTTGTATTCTGTGTTGTAATTTAAATCGATATATTTGAAAATGCAGAAAAACATCCAAAAATATTTAATAAATTTCATTTGGTATTTTATTGTTTAACCGTGTGATTCAATCACGATTAATTTTTTTGAGTTAAACGCGATTAATCCACAGCCCTAGTTAAGATTTTGTCACAGTTATTTTTAGTAGAAGTCATGGGCAGGTCGTGGGCAATAAACAAAAATTCATGGGAGCCCTGACCTGTCCATGATTTTTACTAAAAATAACAGGGGGAGAGAGGGCTGAGGGAAGGAATGACACCTGGATCCTCATGGAGGAGGAGGGACTGACAGCCCCAGCCCCACTGGAGGGGCACAATCTTGGCTCCAGACACTGCCAAAGCCGCGGGGCGGGCGCACACAGCAGCGGAGCCGGCCCCAGCCAAAGCCATGGGGGAAGGGGGGCACAGTCTTGGCCCAAAGGTACGGGGGGGTGGAGGGGGAGGGAGAGAGACGCGCATGGCCCTAGCCCCGGCTGAAGCTGCAGGGGGAAAGGAGGGGTAAGCACAGTCCTGACTGTGCCCTGACTGCCTGAAGCCAAAGTCATGGAGGTCCAGTAAAGTCACAGAATCCGTGACTGACCTCTGTGATTAAATTGTATCCTTAACTATCATGTGCAGGTGGAATTTAAACTCTAACATACCTGTACAATAGGCAAAGATGGAAACAGTTCTGAAGGAGATATTGGTTTGACAATCTCCTGAAACAAAAAAACAAACAAAAACACCACGGTTAAAATGTCTTAAACATGGGGGATAAAAAATTTAGGCTCAAACTGTACAGCTTCTAGATAGACGGGGTTACAAAATGGTAGTTTAGTCATGTACTGAAGGATCCTGTAATTCCCTAACTTGCTTCCTTCTTAGATCACTCATCTAGATGTATGCATAGTTATGAACTTATTACTAAGTACAAATAAAGAAAACAAGAATAAATATTGAAACAGAGCCCTACCTGTTTCTTTTCTTTGAAATCAATGACATGGTTAATAGCAACAGTTGAATATCCCACTAGAAAAGGTAAACATATGGTAAGTTTTTTTTTGTCCAATTTACTATTTAATAGAAATTAATCAGAATAGAGAGATTTAAGATTAGCAATTAAACTCCACACATCATTTACAAATCTGAACGGTTTCTTTGTGTAATAATTTGAGATTTCTGAAAACAGAAAATCAGTAGGAAACATGATTCCTTAACGTTAAAATCCCCCCCCTTTAAATACATGAAGAATTATGGTCCCAGTCCTGCAAACAATTATGCAAATGCTGAATTGTAAGAACACAAGTAATCCCAGGAGAAGTTAAAATGTATTGTATGATGTCTGGGGATCTAGTCGAAAAGGAGTCTGGAAAACCACGTTCTCTG